AATAGTGTTGACTCCCGAGGAGGTCGCCATACAGCGAGCAGCTATTCGCGAGGTACAGCTACAACAGGTGTTAGGAGAGATCAAGGCAGAGAAGAGAAGATGATTAGAAGAAGAGCCAGGATGCAGCGGAGACAATCGAACGTTAGCGAGATACAGGAGATGGACTTTACGAACATGGATGACGATGTGAGGACCCTACGGTCCGTCCTGCTAGATGTAGTAAAAAAGCAGGACCACCAGACGACTCTCCTTCAAGACATTCAGCAAAGTCTGGCCGTAGTCGGGCGAGCGCAGTCAGCACCATCGTCGTTCGTGGCCGGTGCCTGGCCCGTTGTACATCCTCCTCCTTTCGTCCCACCGGTGACTGGAGTATCCCCATATGTCTCTCCAACATCGGTCCAAGCCGCTTCCCTAGGAATGTCGCTAACAGGAGGGTTCTCAGTAGGTCCTAGTGTACAGATTCTTGTACAGATAGTGTACTCCCAACCTCTGTCGCAGGTTCCCTTGACAGGGCAGCCTGCTGTCTCGCAACCTGCACAGTCATAGGGCACACAACCCCAGCAGCAGCTTGTGCAACATCCTGTTTCCCAAGGTCCACAGTCTCGAGTGGGACAGGTAGTGGGACAAACACCGTGGGTTCCAAAGATAGCCATCACCTCGCCTAAACCCTTTTCAGGGGAAAAAAGGGGCGAAGACCTTGACACCTGGTTGAGGTCAGTGTCGGTCTATGTCAAGTGTAAACTAACCTTGTCGCACGAGGAAGTGCTTGTGGCTGCCTCCTATTTACAGGGGAGTGCAGCAAGACAGTTGAGTGGTTTAATGCAACTACAGGGATACGGTCACGACTTCCGCGCTTGGGCAGCCAACCAGAAACTGGATGACTTCCTGAAGTTGGTGGAAGACAGGTGGCATGATCCTCAGGAGGCTTAGAAGGCCATTGATGCGATCCTGACTCTGAACCATAGACAGTTCAAGTCAGTATGAGAGGCCACAAACGCAGTACAGCGTTTGATCTATGTCCCTGGGGTGCGCTATGACCCCCAGGTTTTACTCACCTCCTGAGATGTTTTCCTATGCCTTTAGGAATCAGTTGGCAAGTGCGGCCAACATCAACATGCACAACTTCCCCTCGTTCAGCAAGAAGGCCCTGAACCTGGAGGCAAAGATAGGGCATGGACAAACACCCACAACGGACGGTAGGAAAAAGTCACTGCCTCCCAACTGGAAGGCGAAGGGTCCAGTTATGATCGTCGACAACGATGGTTCTACCATCCAGTTGGAAGACGACTTCCAGGCGGGAGTGGGTTCAGAGGCAGGCAGCGTAGAGGCTTCAGGGGGTGGAGTAGTCGCTGCCTCAGTATAGAAAGGTAATGCGACCAGTAGACGTCGTGGAGGTTCCCGGTCTAGGAGTCAAGTGACCCCAACACTCCTCCATGGGAGAAAGCGAGTCTAACTGGACGTGTGGAGAGATCGGTACACCCGGCAGGCTTGTATCCGATGTGGCCAATATGGCCATAATCAGTTCAAGTGTCGAAACAAGAAGGTGCCCGAGAAGATCCCGCCTACGATGGGCAGGCGTTGGGATCCTCCGCTCCCGTAGGTAGCAACGTGGCCAGCAGTTTTGGCACTACTCCGACAAACGTGTCGGGCCAGTAGGAATAGTAGTTGTTCCTGCTAGGGTCGAGGTGGTGGACACACCCTCACCATCTCGAGAGATGGCCCAAGTTACTGACTCCGTTGTCGTCCCGCTCCTCCTGCGAGTTGAGTCACTCCCTCTCTTGTATCTTGAGCGTCTGAAACCCCTTACTCTGCCCTTCTTACTTCAAGTCTAATATGTGGTTCTAAGAGGAAGGCGGCAGGCGGGATTGCAACCGTAGGACCGCAACAGACTCTGTGGGGAGTCAGCCCACCGATTGCGGGAGCTCTGCCGGAACTCAGGAGGAGTTCTGGAGGCGGGGAAATAAGAGGTTACGGTTCTATCCTTCTTTTATAAACCCAGTTATAACCCCTATTCGTACTTCTTGCTATGTTGGACTGAGTATATTGTGTGCACCTTTATTTTGATTTTGGTTTCGACTTTCAGGACTTAAACTAGACTTAAATAAAGGAAGGTATGCGCAATGTCAGTTTCAGTTTTGTTGTTTGACTGAAAGCAGATTGTGGAAAGGGATTGCATCTGGGGGAAGGATGGGAGGAAGGCAGTTTTGCTTGTGTTTGAATGGGTCCATCAAAGGTTGGGCAAGTCTCCATAAGTTTGGGGAGGCCCAGTGCTATGTTTAATTTTGAGTTGCTTGGAGAACCAGACTTGTTCCATAAGTTTGGGTGGTCAAGTTGCTCTGCCTTGCGAGGGCTGCCTGTGGTTGACTTTTTTGGGAAACCAAGCATTGTCCCATAAGTTTGGGTGGCTTGGTTGCCTTGCTTATTTTGGGTTTCCTCGGTTTCTTTTGGTTTTGAACGAGGGGGTCTGAGCATGTTCCATAAGTTTAGGTGGCTCAACCTCTTCCTGCTTTACTATTAAGAGAATGAATCGGGCAGAGGACCAAACATGTTCCATAAATTTGGGTGGTCTTGGTCCAATGTCACACACATGCTGGAACCAAAAGGGTTTTAACTTATCTATGTTTTATTATTACTTTATCTATGAACAAGCTAGTCAGACATTGTTCTATAACTTTAGGTAGTCTGACTATAATTTATCACAAATTGAAGAGAGCATTAGCTAAGAATAAACTTGTGGTAAGAAGGGGCAAGTTTAACCTCGAGCTAAAAATGATCGGTTCAGTCATATGCTACCTTAAAAGACCAAGTGCAGAAAATTATATAAAACTTTGATACTTAAACAGTTCAGGGCGATTAACGTGGCCTAGTCATACGCCCAAGGAAGAGAAAAGTTGTTGTGCCTTGTGTTTGTGTATATCTAATGGTTGAGCTAGACATTATTCCATAAGTTTAGATGATCTAGCTTTATGCCTTATGTAAGCTGGGTATAAAAGGATAAATCATTGAAAGACTATGAACTATTGTTTGATAAGGTTGACTTTGGGTTAATGAGCGTACTTACCTTTGTGGTTTGGCCTTGCTTGTGACTAAGAGAGATTAGTACTTAGTCTGAGGTTCAGTTTGATAGGTAGTTTCTTTAGATGCTCGCCACGTGCTAGAGTCATAGGAGTTAGTTTCAATTCTTGCATTTTCTGAGCTAAGTTTATTTTACTTAGGTCGATTTCTGCATTTCCTGGGATCATTTATTATACTTGGTCTTGTATAAATCTTGGTAAGTCACTTTCTCTTTGGGAAGCGCTGCCGAAATTTCTACAAAACCAAGGAGTTGCTTAAATTTTGTCTTTTCAAAGTTCAGCTTGTCTAACTTTTATATATGGCTTAGTAAAACTCTGGAAAGTCTCCTTTTCTAAAGGGAGTGCTGCCCAAATTTTCACTAAATCAAGGAGTTAGACAAAATTGGACCTTGAGAAGTCAAAATTATTTAAGGTTTTGAAGTTAGCTTTGTATGAATATGGGAAGTATCTTTTTGTAAAGGGAGTGCTGCCCAAATTTTTACAGATCTAAGGAGTTAGTTAAATATTGTCTTAGTTGAACTCAAGTTTTGTTTTGAGTTCGCATCTGACTTAGTATAAATCTGGGAAGTCTCCGTTTCTAAAAGGAGTGCTGCCCGAATTTTACTAATTCAGGAAGTTAGACAAAATTTAACTTTCCAAGAGTTGAGAATATTTCAGTCTTTATATTCGAGCTATTATAAATTCTGAAAAAACATTTTTCCTATGGGAACCGCTGCTAAAATTTTCCTAGTTTAAAGGAGATAGGTTATATTCTGACAGGTGGCGATTTTGGAAATCACTCTGTATAGAGGAGATCCGGGCAGGATCTACCTTTTTTTTAGGTATCTGCTTAGGAATAGATTTAAACTTAGTTAATTAAGAACGATGTTTCAGTGAGATCGTGATATGGAGGTTATTCTCCATGGACTTATAGGTTTAGCTTGAGGATTGGCTTGTCTTGTGTTACAGGTCCTCTTGGTCGTTTGTTTCACAGGATTTGGGTTAGATTCAGCTTGATCCTACAAAGATCATCTTTTGTTATTACTAATAACAGACCGGTTGTCGATTAGTCGGTTTACGATTCAACTCCAATCCACTTTTGCCATTCAACCTAAAGGCTTTAGCCCTGGGGTGTGAATTGTTTCATTGTGTTTTTACCCGGACTTTATTCAATCGCCATTTAACAAAGGTACTGAGTATTTTATTGTTGGAAGGGTGCGCTAAGGTTGCGGTTTGTATAGCTAAAGTGAGGGGTGTGAGCACAGAGAATGGTTGAATTTGACGCCGCGTAGTGCATGGACCTTTGGTTGAATCTTTGATGTGATTGCAGGTATGCTTGGTGGTTCGGACGTTGGATTTGACTACCTGCGATCACGTACATATATATGGTTAAGAGGAGTCTCACTGTGATTGTGAGAAGTGATCGTCACGTATTTATAACCCTATATTCTTCTCCCTCTCTGCCTACGGTTTACCGGGCAGTTCCATTTGACGATATATATATATATACTATGTAGCATCGTGTTCGGGTTCGGTGGCCAAACCCGAACGTTCGGGACCGAACATGAACTAGCGCCGAAACTCTCCGAACGCAAACATAAAAATTAAAAAAAAAAAAAAAAAAAAGTTCTCCAAAAAATCTGAAAACAATATATGTTATGTAAAATAATAATACAAACAACTTGGAGGTATGGTCAAATTCGTAACCAAACTCGAGTTAAAAATCAAAAACCAAAAAAAAAGTTTTTTTTTTTTTTTTTTTTTAATATGTTCGGCCGAACACGTTCGGGTGGCGTTCGGCCGAACACCCGAACATGTTCGGACATTCAAAAAAGCTCCGAACATGTTCGGTGTGCTACACAATACTCCGTCATCATGTTCTACCCCTGCAAGCCTACTTCGTTGTCCTAGACGCCGACTTCGACCTACTTCCCAACCTCAACTTACTCCCCTTTCCTCCATCTTTGTTCTCGGACAAAGAAGAACCCGTTCATTCTCCCCACCACGGCCCTCCCCAACATCCCGTCCTCGTCTTTTGCCGCCCCAAGCATCCTTACCACGCCTGCAACGCTCTTCGACTGCAGACCTTGCTGCAACGCGGCAAACACAAAACAGGAGGGATGATGGCGAGGGCCTATCCGAGGATGAACTTGGCAAGGGGACTGTAGAAGATTCTGTAGAAAATCCGCCTGACTGGCCTCCACCGAATTTGTGTGGTCTCGCTGCTACTAACATCTGCCTGCAAGCCTATCGTCGGGAACCATATACTCACTCTGATTTCTTGGCCATTGCTTCTGATCTTGATGCTCAGGAATGTGAGTTATATGGCGATAACCCGGCTCTGCATCCCCCACAGGATAGTAATTACACTCGACATGGGGGATTCAATGTCTCTATTTTGGAGACTGCTTTGATAAGGTGCCGGCTTGATATGCAGCGTGCCCCTTCGGGTGGCGACCCGCACCACTGTTCGCACGTTTGTGCCTATATTCTACATACTCCTGGCCACTACACCGCTCTTGTCTGTGCCGCTGGTTCTTGGGAATTATGGAATGGCAGTGCTATGGTGCAAACTATTACTGCCATCTGTGATCTCGTACGTAATTACCCTAACCTGCAATTGTTCCAGGTCATTGACCCTATGGGTACCTCGTGTACTTCCATGCCCGCCTCTACGCCTATCTCTGTGCCTGCCTCCGTACCTGTCTCTGTGCCTGTTTCTGTGTATGTCTCCTTTCAGATTACTGACTTTGTAGGTACTACGTGTACTTTCGTCCCCGCCTCTGCACCTGTCTCTGTGCCTGCCTCCACACCTGTCTCCATGCCCGTTTCTGTGTCTGCCTCCGTGCCTACCTCCATGTTTGTCACCGTGCCTGCTTTAGTCTTCATTCCCCCACACGCTGCACTAACACCTTGTGACCTCCTTTGTGAAATCACTGACATAGTTACACTTGGTTGTGGAAAGCATCGACTTTGTCGACATCACTATAACCGTATAATTTTTCGGGCCCGCTGTCGGCAGGGATGCCACCTGTATCCGGATTGTGAACATCCTCTACATCCAGATGCAGTATGTCCCATCTGTGCCTGCGGGCGCTATAGTGAATGTGCACTTAACTGTGATGGTGAACGCCCCACAATCTGTCTCTTATACACATCTAGATGTGTATAAGAGACAGGCCTGCAACCGGCATGCCCTCTGTCGTGCATGCTTCAGAGGTATGGTTAATGCTAGCCGCCCTGGCTCCTACTGTGACGAAGTTGCTTACCTGAATGGTTTTCGTCCTGTAGATCAGCGGGAGGGCTGCTACCATCGCCCGCATCCTTATGACAGTTGTCCTATCTGTCGTGAGGGTCTTACTTAGACGTACCTTGCACCCTAACAAAAATGTGAAGATGCGCTGAAAAGAGTGTACAAGAATGTGCAAAGGTGGGGAACCCTTCACTAAAGCTGCAAAACTGCGAAGAATGCAGTAAAAGAAGAACATAAGTTTGTGTCATCTTACTTTGTTTGTACCCTGCACCCTAACACCCTCAAAAGAAAAGTCCAAAGGGTGAAAATGAAGATGAGAAATGAAGAAGGAAGTGCAGGTGCGCTGAAAAGTGAACGTGGTAAACTCTTCACCAAAACTGCAAAACTGTGAAAGAAAGAAGAATGCAGTGAAAGAAAGAACATGTTTGGGTCACTTTTTTTGTTTTTTTTCCCTTTGGCTATCGGTTTTCCTTTTCTACTCCTCTCTTCCTTGTGTTTAACACCTCTTCCTTCACTCTGCCTCTTTCCCATAGCGTGCAAGTGGGCTGTTATGGCATGCGGGGATGGGGGCAGCTCGCGCTCAACTTCATCAACGTGGCGAGTCTTGTACGTTACAGGCATAGTGGAGGAGGCGTTAAGAAGTCTGAGAAACTGAATGATTTCAATGTGTCTTTGTTTTTTATTTCTATCCTTTAATTCAGTGTAAATTTTTTTTGTAAAACATTGAAAGAAATAATAATAGTGAAACAAAGAGTAAGAGGACACTGTTTTGTGTCATTCTGGTTTGTTTGTCTCTTTGCCTGTCTGTCCTTTCATTTTTCTTTTCTTCGCTCATATTATTTCTTCTTCTACTTCACGTGCTTACGCTCTTAGTCAATAGTTCTGTGACAATATATATATATATGAGATCACTGACACAGTTACACTTGGTTGTGGAAAGCATCGACTTTGTCGACATCACTACAACTGTATAATTTTTCGAGCCCGCTGTCGGCAGGGATGCCACCTGTATCCGGATTGTGAACATCCTCTACATCCAGATGCAGTACGTCCCGTATGTGCCTGCGGGCGCTATAGTGAATGTGCACTTAACTGTGATGGTGAACGCCCCACAATCGTCATGGCCTGCAACCGGCATGCCCTCTATCGTGCATGTTTTAGAGGTATGGTTAATACTAGCCGCCCTGGCTCCTGCTATGACGGTTTTCGTCCTGTAGATCAACGGGAGGGCTGCTACCATCGCCCGCATCCTTATGACAGTTTTCCTATCTGTCGTGAGGGTCTTACTTAGACGTACCTTGCACCCTCACAAAAATGTGCAGGTGCGCTGAAAAGAGTGTACAAGAATGAGCAAAGGTGGGGAACCCTTCACTAGAACTGCAAAACTGTGAAGAATGCAGTAAAAGAATAACATAAGTTTGTGTCATCTTACTTTGTTTGTACCCTGCACCCTAACACCCTCAAAAGAAAAGTCTGAAGGGCAAAAATGAAGATGAGAAATGAAGAAGGAAGTGCAGGTGCACTGAAAAGCGAACGTAGTAGACTCTTCACAAAACAGCAAAACTGTGAAAGAAAGAAGAATGCAGTGAAAGAAAGACGATGTTTGGGTCACTTTTTTTTGTTTTTTCTCCCTCTGCCTATCAGTTTTCCTTTTCTGCTCCTCTCTTTCTTGTGTTTAACACCTCTTCCTTCACTCTGCCTCTTTCCCATAGCGTGCAAGTGGGTTGTTATGGCATGCGGGGATGGGGGCAGCTCGCGCTCAACTTCATCAACGTGGTGAGCCTTATACGTTAAGAGGCATAGTGGAGGAGGCGTTAAGCAGACTGAGAAACTGAATGATTTCAATGTGTCTTTGTTTTTTACTTTTATCCTTTGATTCAATGTATTTTTTTTAATTTTTTTTTTAACACTGAAAGAAATAATAATACTGTGAAACAAAGAATAAGAGAACACTGTTTTGTGTCATTCTGGTTTGTCTGTCTCTTTGCCTGTCTGTCCTTTCATTTTTCTTTTCTTCGCTCATCTTATTTCTTCTTCTACTTCACGTGCTTACGCTCTTAGTCAATAGTTTTTTGACAATATATATATATATATATCGTAAATATATATATGTGAATACATATGCTTTGAGTGTTCGCGCGGCCTGCTGTGACCGTGCTAAAGGGTTAAACAGATTATGTTTTGAGAGAAAAGGGGGATCCCCTTTTATCCTTTGCTTTTTAGAATATTTATATGGTTGGACGTTGTAGTCTGTGACAGCCGTCAAAGTCAAACCCCTTGAGTCCCCTCCAGACCCTGGATGATGGAGCTAGTCTCCAGGGCAATAAGAGACGATTGCCACCACAGGTATGAACCTGTGTACCACCCACTCTCCACAGGATGCAGAAGAGGGTGTGGTTCTCAACCGCACTTGGCGGTTGCCTAGCATCGAGAGATTAACCCCTCAAAGCGCGTGTTAACCGACACTTGAGTGTCGAGTGCGACCCTCGAGACTACGAGAGACCGCATGATTATGGGCACTACATAGTACGCCATCACTGCGACTGCTTGCGTAAGCATGCATTGCGAGTCGATACGAGTTAGCTCTGGGTCCGCGCGGTTTTTTATACTAAGTATCACGCGCGTCGCCTATCCGATTTCCGCGTTGGAAGGTTATGGGATGGATACAAAAAGGACTAGGAGTGTTGTCGCGTTGTTTGTTCGGAGCCATTCTGTATGTGTGAGTAGTGTGGTGTACACGCGGTGTGTGGAATGCGTCCTAGTCAACCGACGACGAGTCGCGCTTGGGACCTCAGCCCCCCAAGGCGTCGGTTCGCATGCGGGTCCGATAGAGGCGTAAGACCGCGCGTACCCCCTATGCTACAGCGAACGAGAAACGCCCTCGGCTGGTCCACCTCTGCGATTGCAACTGATTAACTTTCGTACTGTGGATTGGTAGTTCGGCGGGGATACGCCCACCGAAGGGAGGTGACAGCTCCCGCAAGGTGGAGGTAAGTCGTGCCTCGCGTTAGCCTTATCATGTCGTAGGGGCTCGCGAAAGGTATGGTTGGCGCACTCGGTCGGAGCGGCTTGCGGAAGCTCCATGTGTATCACGACGAGGATCATACCAACTCCTGCATCCGCGGCCGGGAGGGTCCCGCCCATGTGCGGCGCGGGACCGATGCGCTCGACGGCGCTCTCCTACTGATATAGCTGCGGGTGGCCCACTGTCTATAAGGACCCCTACTCTACCTTTAAAAATCTCTACGACTACTAAGAGTAGTTGTCCTTTAGCGTCCTTCTTCATATTGGCCCAGGCAGGCATCCTCACCTTTAATTCTTCTGCCACGGCTGTGAGGGAAGTGCCTAAAAAGACTCTAACACAAGCAGTCTCTGGACAGCGGTCTAGGCACTGGCCAGCAACCTCTGTCGTAGACGTCGTAGACACGTGGTTTGGGAGTATCTATATGGTGCGCACACTCTTCTCCACATGGTCTAAGGATAGGGGCAATTGCAACCCCTACCGGCGGTTGCCTTTTGCTGCCTGTGCAGCAAACCGGGCTTCTCTATACTTAGGGCAGTACTTTATGATGTGGCCCGGATCACCGCAGTAAATGCACTGATCCTAGTCTACTCGCCTTTGCCAAACAGTTTGTTCCAAGCCCATATCCTCCCAAGGCCTGCCCTATGGCAGACCAGGGTGCCATCCACCTCTCCTATAAGGTGATCAATTAAAACTAGAGCGGTTTTGCGGGGCACCTTGACCCCTACCTCCCACTTGGCGGCCTCCTCTACCACCAACCCCCTGATCGCCCTTCCCACGACCACCAGAGGCCCGATCCCCTTGGTTATGGCCTCTCCCTCTTCCTTGTGGCCTCCCTCCAGCTGCGACAGCAGCGTAAGTCCTCCCCTGACTAGCGCTACTGTCCTCTTCCTCTAGGCCCCACTCTTTCTGATCATACGGGACCTCTTCCATACAACCCTCATCTAATGTAAGGATCAGGTGATCCTTGCCCTTGACCTGACCCGAGATCGTACGGCCCTTCCACTTCTTCCCTTTGTCGAGGTCCTTATGCCAGAAAGTGGAAACTGGCATGGACTGCGCTTCGAATGCTGCCACTTCCCTACTCAAGGTATCGTAGGTCATGGTAGACTCCCTACTTTTCTCAAAGAAATGCCCACACAAGGGCTTGGGCATGGCACGATAGAATAGGTTGACTAGTTGGGTCTCAGTGACCCATTGATCAAGAACGGCGACCAACTCATCCATGACACCCTTGAGTGGCCTGGCGCTCCTCCACTGGTGGGAATGAATGGTCTGCAGTTTGTCAGAAGCTCTAACGCTTCGTGTGACATTTGCAAACCTTTCGCGCAACAGTTTGAAGAACTCACTGAGAGGGGTGAAGGCGGAATAAGCAACCATATCTTCATTGCAATTAGTAGCACGACACAGCGACCTGGGGAAGCTTGCTGCTTCGCCTTTGAGGGCATGGAAAACTATTAGGACATGCTCGTCAGGAGATATCTTTTGTAGATGTACGTAGGAGTTGACATTGGTCTCCTTGTTGTCGAAGTTCTCCTCCTTCTTTCCACTGTAGGAGTCGAGGAACTTCACCTTAATGGGCTCCCTACGGGGACGAGCTTCCTCCTCTTTTGGTGCAACCAACTTGGCGCCCTCTATGGCGCCAATGCAGAATCACTCTGTGCTCTCTAATCTTGTTTGCACTTATGAGCCCACGTGCATGATCATCTCACGTGCAAACTCTCTAAACCTCAGTCGAATCGATCGCAGCACTATATCCTGACTCCTCCCAAACAGGTATTGCTCCTCCTAGGCCTGTGCTAGGCGTTCTATATTCCTTGCCATTACCTTCATTTTCCCCTGAAAATCCGCCTGTGCCTCCATCTGCACCCTCAACGGTTTCACCTCCTCCAGTTCTTTCGCCGCCTGACTCGCCGCCTCCATTCTTTTCTTCCTCTCCTTGGTCAGACGCAGTTCCACTCCAACTTTTTCTCCTCCTCTATCGTCTGCCGTTTGAGGGGATCTTCCTCGGCTTCCAATTCCTTCACAACCGTCTCCTGTTCTTCCCTAGGAACATATAACATCACCTCTTCCTCTTCGCCCAAATACAGATTGGCAACCCATTCAGAAACCTTCTTCTCCAACCAAGAATCCTTTTTCTTAGTGCCACTTGTCTCGCCTCTGTCCCTGATACTTCTCCTAATCAGGGGCACTTCTTCTTCCACCTTTTTCTCTTCTTCTTCTTCTTCTGCATCCACTGCTTTCATCTTCTCTTCCTCCTCTTTTTTCACCCTTTCTAGTTCCTCCTCCAACTTCTTCCTTTTTGCAGCCTGCTCCTGCATTAAGGCCAACGTTTTGGCCTACTTCACCACCTCCTTCTTCTCCTTCTTGGCCTTCTTCTCGGCCAAGATCCTCGCAGCCTCCTCCTCCTGTTCCGGGGTATAGGGAGTGGTGCTGGCACCACCCCGAGTCTCTACTCTACACGTGAATGTGTTCCAAAACCCAAGCTGAAAGAGGAGACGCCAGAGGGTCCCCCAGAGGGAGAACCCCACGAGCAGACCGTACATAGGGTAGTCGTCCACAATGTTAGGCGCACGACAAGATTGTCCCACTCCTCACCACTTAGACCTACCCACTAGACTGACTGACTATCTGTCTAATGACCACAGGATCCAGATAGGACCCTGTCAACTATGGTCACTAGCCTGGACCTAATGCTAAGGTTGTCACTAAAGGACTTCAATGCTGATCAGGAGGCATTTAAGGAGATCCCCCGTAACTCCTCAGGAATTATTTAACGTCGCAGACAGGACGACGCGATCAGCAAGTCCTCTCAAGACTTAGACAGCTCGTTGTGCAGCCCACAACTCGGATTTTGGGCCTACCGTGCCACATTGAGCAGGTCGCCGGTCTGTACCGGTCCTTGGGAGGGTTTGTGTCCTCCGAATCAATCAAGTCGCCAGACGCAGCCTTTAGCCCTACTCAGCCCGTGTGGGTTTGGTCAACAAAGCTCTATGACCTCATACACAGAGTTCTTATCACCTGGACAAAAGAGACTCGATGCACAAAGAAGAGACAGACAGACTTAGCAAGTACCATGGGGTGAGTGCACATCCATAGGGCGAGGGAATAGGCTGAGGGCTTGGCGAGAATATACCAACTCCAGCTTGGTCAAGTTCGTGGTCAACAGCTCTAGTCAACACCGGTCAAACCCCGGTCAACACTCTGGTCAACCTCGGTCAACGCCTTGATCAACGCCTGAGTCAACACCCAAGTCAACTTCGATCAACCCCTTGGTCAACGATTTGGTCAACCCTCAACTTGGCTATGGCTGCCGACACTTTCTCTTTCCCGCACCCTCACTTCTCTTTCTCCCTCCTTTCTTCTTCCTCGCTTGTCTTCCTTCTTCTTCGTCGTCCCTCCTTCCTATTCCTCAGCTATGGCTTCTCTTTCCTCCTTCGTCTCTCCTCCCTTCTTCACCCGTCCTCTTTCTTCTTCTTCCGTGTCCGAGCTCCGTGGGTATGGCCGTCTTCTTCCTTGGACCGCACAACAATCTTCTCTCTCTCTCTCTCTCTCTCTCTCTCTCTCTCTCTCTCTCTCTCTATCTATCTATCTATCTATCTATCTATCTATCTATCTATCTATCTATCTCTCTTCGTCGGTGTCTTCTTGACAGGTACGCGGCACCTCACTTTTGTGGCGCAGCTATGGCAGACCTCCTCCTTCGATGGCGCAGCTTCGACTATGGCGCCCGACGGTCAACAACGGCGATGGAGCGTGGAGTAACGGGAACCAGCTCCGATACCAATGCAATCAGACTCACTTTGTTTTCCACTCTGCATACATGCAAACAGATGGTGATTCACACTGGCACACAGCGCCCACTCAAAGCTCAGAGATATGGCAATCAAGAACACAGTTCAGATGTAAACTCGCTTCAACAAGCTATGGCGCAGCAGCGCCTTCACAACCCAACTCTCGTCACTGCGTTCAACACCACTATTTGCCGGCACGCAACTCTGGATCACCCTGAATACTTCCACACACATTCACTCTGTCGCTCACTCATACACATTCGCTAACTCATAACACTACAGCGGCTATGGCCGCTCAACTTCTACTAACTATCGCTATGCTATCGTTTCTCAGCCCACTTCGACTTCGGGCGCTCTGCAGACCACCTCGCACAAGACGCTGAAACAGTGTTTCCGCATGGCTTACTCAGCGAATGAATGAATGGCTGGGCGATACCTCTTGATTTATACTTCTGAAAGTCGTTGGTATGGCCCTTTTCCACCGGGCCCATGGTGCACACAGTCCCTCATGGTACTTGCTGACTGTACGAAGTAAGACTGGGACTGGGTACCGCTGACTCATCGAAGTTGGACTCCACCACTTGCCCACTTGCCTTGGCCTAAACGTGAGACACTTTCGAAAGGCCACTTCCGGACCTTCCGGAAGTCTGTGGACTTGGCCTTTCAAGTACTGTAGCAGCTACGACCTTGACCTTTCGGGACTGTAGCGGCTACGACCTTGACCTCTCAGAACACCTACAGCTACGACCTCTACAGAGCTGTGACTCCTACTCAACAGACCTACCCCTACAACTACACAGACCTACGACGGACAACAACCAACTACCAAAACACAGGTCACGGGTTCAAACAGTCGGGGTTCAACTCGATACTGTACATGGGCAAGGTAAGGTCTGGGGATCGAACTCTAGGGCCCACATCTGTGACTGCAGAAAGGTGAAAACCGTTTCACAGAGGCCTCCATCCAGACATAGGGACCGGACAACGGACACCGGACACCGGACACCGGACACCGGACTGTCTGGAACCCGGTCCAGACGTCCGGGCGGTTACCATGTTTAACGTCGATCAAATGAGTTAGGAGTCGTCCATTGTTGAGTTTAGCTCAGGGCAGTTGGGTTTGTGCCTAGAGCTAGTTCTGTCTATCAGACTTTGTGTCTGACATTGTTGGTCCCCTCAGGGCAGTGTTCCCTGTAAGCGAAACTGGGTAATGCTCCTAGCAGTTTTTCTTCCGGGTAGACTGTGAGGACCCTGGCCTCAAAATATTTTTGAAGTAAACGTATATTTTGTTAAAAAAAAAAAAAAAAACTTCAGCCGAATTTGAGTCAGTTTTACATGCCATGTTTCTATGCTGTGTGAGAGCTTGATGCCCATTATTACTTGATAGGGGTAACTTCAGTAGAGTCGCAAAAACGAATTAGAATTGCACTATGGGCCAAGATACAGTTTGAAACTGCAGTTCGGGCACCCTACCTGGCCAGAAAACTGGGTTGTATACGTTGCCCAAACCGCAATCTGAAACTGTATCTTCGCCCATAGTGCAATTATAACTCAGTTTTGTGACTCCTGCGTAGTTTCCCCTACTTGATAATAATGCATGAATTGGACAGTTAGCGATTGGCCTCGCTAGGTAGTTCTCATTTCATCTCTTTGTTTCTTTGTGCGAAACCACGCATCCGGTTAAATTTTCAGTCTCCAAATTTAGTACGGCATGGGGAAACCTTGACTGAGACTTCAAAGTGACAGACATGGTGACATCTTTCTTTTTCTTTTTCTTTTTCTCTTTTTTTTCTTTTTTTTGACGCTAATTGAGCCTAATTCTTTTGAGCCCAACCAATTCAATTCCCCTGTCGAATCTGGACTGGACGGCCTTTCAGGCCTTTTTTATTGTCATTATAGTATTACGGGGAACCCCGTAGCAGCCACATCCGTGCTCAAGCCTCCAACGAGGGAACATGCGGGAGTTGCACCCACCAGCAGATGCGATACCTGCTATAGCAGGTGGGCGATCCGTTCATCTGGTGGTTCCGCCTGGAATCGAACTCCGGTCGATCCGTTCATCTGGTGGTTCCGTCTGAATTCGAACTCAGGTCTGCATTTCAACAGCTTATGTATGGGTGTACCAACTGAGCTATGGATGTCAGCTAATTTCCAAATTTTGGAGGCGGCGGCAGCAGCGGCCGCAGCAGCAGACAGTAGTGGTAGTAGTAGTAGTAGTAGTAGTAGAAGAAGAAGAATCTCAACTAATAAGCTGAAAGGAGAAACCAAATGACTGAGTGGAATTGAAACAAGGTCAAGAGTTCAAACCCCGGGTAAATACAATCATTATATCAAAGGGTGTCATGATGTCATCCATACTGTCCAACCACGTTGCCTTTTCCAAAGAAAAAAACAGGAAAACAGAAGGGATGAAAACCATAAAAATAAGCCTCCTCTTTTCTTCCATTTTGTCTTTTTGGTAGGAAGAAGTACCACCTAACATGTATCTGTTCCAGCTTCCAACTCGTCAGCTTCCATGCATGTGACTGACTACTTCTTTCTCTCCTTTTTTTTTTTTTTTTTTTTGAAAGATCTTTCTCTCGTCCTCCTTAATTTTCTTAAATTTAAATTATCAGCACCTTCCCACCTGAAGTAAATGTGCAACCATCAATGGTCAACCTGCTTTATGCTTGTCGATGGGCCCATCAGGCAGTTGAAGGCGACGCTCGGGTGTTGGAAAGGGCGCATGGAGGGAACATTATCCCCTTGGGATAGATCACAATCAAACCTAATCCGATCTGTTTGAATCCTAAAATTCCAAACCATTTAGAGAATTTATTTATTGCAATTCAAAGAGCAGATCAACCTGACCTGCTAAGACGATTTACTCCAATTAATTCTCAAACTGGATAACAACAGAAAGAACTCGTTATTTTTCCAGCAGGTGCAGCTCCCCACCAATAGATGGAGCAGCTGGAGGCTACTACTAGTGGGGGCTACTCGTATCACCCCCTCTAGTAAACAGACAAGGCTTTCCAAAAAAAAAAAAAAAAAAAAAAAAAAAAAAANAAAAAAAAAAAAAAAAACCATGTCCGGGCGGCTAGCTCATGTGGTTGCATGCCTGTGTTACACTGGAGAGGTGCTGGGTTCAAGACCCGCCGATGTCTCTGCGCTCTGCCCTGTGGGTTGCACTGGCGAGGTGCTGGGTTCAAGACCTGCTGACATCTCTGCGCATTGCACTGGAAAGGTGCTGGGTTCAGGACAGGCCGCTGTCTCTGCACTCCCACTGCCCAGAACGACGCTGGGGTGTTGGCGCTGCACGGCCCCGTAACCCGCAGCTTGCAGAAGGTTACAGGGCCGTGCAACTAAAGAATCTGGCCCAAAGCAGTAAATCTTGCCCGGAGGTCGTCACCGGGTGTGGCGCTCGCATTGGGGGTAGAAAGACTGCGGCCCAAAGTGCCGTCTCTGCACTGTCCACCCGGAACGACGCTGGGGTGTTGGTGTTGCCCGGCCCCGTAACCCACAGCTCGCAGAAGGTTACGGGGCCCTGCAACTGGGCTGGTAGAAAGACTCTGCCCCACAGCAGTAAATGTTGCCCGGAGGTAGTCACCGGGTGTGGCGCTCGCAAAGTGCCGTCTCTGCACTGTCCACCCAGAACGACGCTGGGGTGTTGGCGTTGCACGGCCCCGTAACCCGCAGCTAGCAGAAGGTTACAGGGGGGCCCTGCAACTGGCTTGGTAGAAAGACTATGGCCCAAAGCAGTAAATGTTGCCTGGAGGTCGTCACCGGGTGTGGCACTTGCAAAGTGCCATCTCTGCACTGTCCACCCAGAACAACGCTGGGCTGTTGGCGTTGCATGGCCCTGTAACCCGCAGCTTGCAGAAGGTTGCAGCGCCCTGCAACTGGCCTGGTAGAAAGACTCTGGCCCAAAGCAGTAAATGTTGCCCGGAGGTCGTCACCGGGTGTTGTGCTCGCATCGGTGAGTTTAAGACCTGCTAAGGTTGCGTGACTAACCAGTTGGAAATGGGACATACCTAACAAGTTTTCTGGTTAAAAATCCAGTCAGAACCCGTCTATCTGACAAGGACGCTTGAATTGACAAGGACACGTGGATGCACATTGATACTTCAATCGATTCGTGTTTCCAAACCGACTGTATGGCCACTTCTTTTTTTCTTTCTTTCTTTCCTTTCCAGTCTATCTGACAACCAAGCCCAACTTCACACTTGGGAGGTGATATGAACATCCTGCGTAAGTGGGTCCCTTGTTTGCAGGCTCCATCTATTGGTGGGGAGCAGCACCTGCCGGAAAACGGGTCCAGCGTCCCAACAACAGATTGTATTTGTTGGTAGAATTCTAGTCAGAACCAGTCTATCTGACGACCATGGCTGTATTAGGATGCCTACTGTCGTTACCCAAATAGAGAACGCCCGGTCATTATCTTTGTATTTGGGCCAACTTTCAGTCTACATACCGCCACAATTACAAAATAGGGCTGCTTATTATCAGTGTATTTGGGGTGATTTTAGGTCTCGGTACAGAGACCATTGACAGGCTGTTCTATTTGGGTGAAGGTGGTGATCAGGGTTGAGACCCTGGATCTACTCAGGAATCATGCTCCAATGGAAATAAACTTCGAGCTAAATTTAAAAAACTTGGTACTCTCTATGCACTCACACTTAGGACTTTTCCAACTCAGCTCTGGACCTGATTGCAGTCAGATGCATCCAGGTTCGTCCCTAATCGCGGTCGGATGCATTTGAGAAAGTGCTATTGTCTTCACCCGAGTAAAACGCGCGCTCATTATCAGTGCATCTGGACTGGAAGTTGTGCGCGATGCAGCTATAATGACCAGTGCGTTCCATTTGGGTGAAGATAGTAGTGTAACTATGCCCTAAGGGGCCCGTTCCATACCTACTCGAAAACCCTGGAAACTCAATCAAGTATCGTTCCTTCCCTCCCTATTTTTCAGAAGAAAAAAAAAGAAGGCAACAGTCTAGACTCTAGAGATATATCCGCAAGTGACCGGCCACAGGTAATTCTCGATCATCAGTATTGATCTTTATTGTAGATGATATGTCATGATTGTTAATTATTGATCTACGTCTGTTATGACTGATATTTAGGGGTTTTCCCCAGACTTTGTGTTTCTTGAATACATTGTGTAACTTGAGGGTCTGAAGACTCTAAACGTGGGACGGGTAAGGTAGGTGGCCTATCCTGTCAGGACAACCATTGGCTGCCGCTGCCAGCAATCACCGCGGGTCTGGTCCTTGGCTACAACACACTGGGCTTCATAGGGAGAAACAAAACAAAACAAAAAAAAAAAAAAAAAAAAAAGACTCTAAACCCTGAAGGCATCGTAATGGAGCCATGGGTGTTGTGAATGTCAGCTGAGATGATACTGACAAGAATTCAAGCTTCAAATTATTTTATTGGTCGTGTCCCAACTGGCTACCTGAGCAGGTCTCCTTCTTCCCACCACAAATTGGCACCACGCCTGGCGACGACTCGGGGCCAGTTTCCCAGATCTCTCTCGTTTAATATATCGTCACAAACAGAACTGCCCGGTAAACCGTAGGCAGAGAGAGAGAGAGAAGAGGACAACAAACGAGGGGCTGTGACAAACTGTTTCGTCGGAGTTTCACCGACTCA